TGTGTGTGTGTGTCTGTCTGTGTGTGTGTGTGTGTCTGTGTGTGTCCGTCTGTGTGTGTGTGTGTGTGTGCGCTGCAGGGTTACTATTTCAACACCAACAACCCGTACAGAGACTGGCCCAACGTCTTCGCCGAGGCTCAGGAGAAAGCTCGGGAGGGAGACCTGAACACTGCCGTGCTGCTGCTGGAGGCCGCCATCCTGCAGGACCCGCAGGACTCAGAGGTGATGCGACGCGCCCAGCTGTTCATCGTTTCACTGTGTCTGGTCTGCAACAGCAAGCCATCCGTGAATGATGTTTCATCTGCACGCAGAAACATCTGCACGCAGATGTGACGATGGGAGTCTCATCCTGTGCTCTCAGAGTCAACAGCTGATCACAGCTTGTTTTATTTGGACGTGAGAGAGCGTAGACACGATGAAGACGATGAAGGTCAAACTGAGGATTGTTTAAACGCCACAGTGTTGTTGCAACCTCGTCCATCCCTTTATCACCTCAGTGTGCCGTCTTCCGATGTCAGGATCTCAGATTCATCCAGATAATTTGACACATCGAATTAAATTCACTTCTGTTTATGTAGAGCTAAATCCTACCAACAGTCTGCTCAAGGCTTTTTATGTAACTCCAGAGAAACACTCCACCCCTATGAGCCAGCGCTATGGCAACAGTGGGCAGAAAAACTCCCTTTTAACAGGAAGAAACACGACCGGTGGGAGTTGAGATGAAAGTTATCATGTGACATTTGAAACGTTGTGCTGGCCAGTTCTGTTTGTACCACCGAGCACGTGTTGGTGACGCGTGCTCGTGGCCTGCAGTCTGCCACGCCCACATTTCACTGCATCAGGAAGAGAAAGGGGCGGAGAAGTCTGCACCGGCAAAGAGACAAATTAGGAGAAGTTCAGTGACGGAAACAATCGTGTCCAAAGAGGAAGCCAGAAAAGGCACGCCTTTCCACCGAGTTACCATGGTGATGACGATGTTAAAATAAAGTGAAGGTGCTGAATATCGTTTTCCCCTCAGATACAGATTACAGTTACCAGCAGCTGGAAAACGTACATCACCACCACCAGGCTAAGCATCATCACACACGCCCAGCACTACAAACACGCGTGAGCGCTGCGTGCGAACGCCTTCATCTTTGTGTCATGATGCATGGCACTGAAAGCGAGGAAAAAAACAGCGAGGCAGAGGTTTGTGGCGAGACCCAGCGGTCCCTCAGAAGGCGGGGCCTAAACGGGCTGACCGGAGCTGCGTGACGTTTAGATGTCCAACCATTTTCAGCCAGGTCGTTTGTGCTCGGTCCAAATCAGAATCAGTGAGTTCTCACATTCCTCTTCTTCTTCACGTTTTCAGGCGTGGCAGCTTCTGGGTATGACTCAGGCTGACAACGAGAACGAGCAGGCCGCCATCGTGTCGCTGCAGAGGTCAGTCGCCTTCATGCTGGAGAGCTCTGCTTTATATTCAACCCTGACATGCTAACTGTTTGCTGGAGCTAATCTGCTTTACCTGCTGCAGGTGCCTGGAGCTCCGCCCCAACAACCTGCCGGCCCTCATGGCGCTCGCCGTCAGTTTCACTAACAGCGGCATGCAGCGGGAGGCCGGCGACGTGCTGCGCCGCTGGATCTGTCACAACCCGCGATATAAACACCTGGTCCAGGACAGCAGGAGTCCGCTACGGGGCTCCCCGGCCATGCCGTGCAGGGCCCCCCACGCCTCCACACCTGCCAGGTATGAAGTTCAGTCAGCATGTTCTTGTAAAGTTCCAACTCCTCTGTGATTGGATGGAACCAAGCTGTGTGTGTGCGCAGGTGTGAGCTGCAGGACGTGCTGCTCCTCTTCCAGGAGGCGGCTCTGCTGAACCTGGACTGTGTGGATCCCGACCTGCAGACCGGGCTGGGAGTCCTCTTCAACCTGAGCTCGGACTTCGACAAGGCGGTGGAAGCTTTCAGTGCAGCGCTGTCTGTCAGGCCACAGGTAACACGCACGCGGACACACACACGTCAACATGGTGGCGGTCCTTTCATACGAGCAGTGACGCTGTCAGCGGCGGGGTTTCTCTCTGCAGGACTACCTGCTGTGGAACCGTCTGGGAGCCACGCTCGCCAACGGAAACCGCAGCGAGGAGGCAGTGGAGGCGTACACCAGAGCTCTGGAGCTGCAGCCCGGATTCATCCGCTCGCGGTACAACCTGGGAATCAGCTGCATCAACCTGGGAGCGCACAGGTAACCCTGGCACTGACCTCTGACCTCACACAGACCAGTCTTACTGCGGCGATGTAGTTGTATAACCCCGGTCCTGGTCCTGCAGGGAGGCGGTCAGTAACTTCCTCACGGCGCTGAACCAGCAGAGGCGGAGTCAGCGCTGCAGCCAGCAGCAGATGTCGGCTAACATCTGGGCCGCCTTGCGGATCGCCATCTCAATGATGGACCGCCCCGAGCTGTTCCAGGCCGCCAACATGGGCGACCTAGACCTGCTGATGAGGGCCTTCGACATGAGCGACGTCTGACGGCGAGTCATGGGAGGGCGGAGCCTTGCTCCCAGAGTCACGGGAGCTCGGTTGGATGTGAGCATTTTCGCCTTCGTGGTGTTTTGAAAGTGGGCGGCTCTGTTGTACTCATGGAAGCCCCGCCTCCATCCTCCACCACAGCCTGCTTCTCTGTCTCCTTCCTCTGTCAGCTGCTCTCCACATCTTCCATCCCAGCACCCTCCAACCCTCTCCACTACGTCCATGAACCTCCTCTGAGCTCTTTCTCTTCTCTTCCCGCCTGAAGCTCCACCTTCCCGCTTCTGCACATGCTCAGACCAACTGAGCCATTGGTCTGATGGACTCACGTCTGATCCTGTCCATTCTGCTCACTCCCAGTGGACATCTGAACATCCCAGCAGGTGTCACTACCATCTTTAAACCTTCTCCTTCTGTCACCTGGCTCCGCCCACTCTGCCCCTCTCCTGCTTTGCATTAACCGGACCAGAATTTAGAAAATAAACTTTGTTTTTTAATGAAGCAGACGTGAAACCAGCGACTCATCAGGAAAGACTTCCCTGCGCTCATTTTCTCATGGACTTGTATACAGTCGCACACCAAAGTCGCCCCCTGCTGGTCACCCTGTCATGTCCAAACCCCAGAATCTCTTCAGTGGTCGTTCTCGCCTCTGTAGCTTTTCTATCGGCTCTGTTCACTTGCAGCACGTCTTTCAGCTCAGGTTATAAAAACTCACGATGTCCGTGGACATGAAGCTTAACACCAGGTCCTTTCCTAACGAGTAATCCAAACCACGGAGCTGCAGGAGTGAGGAGAAGCAGAACACGCCCACTTTAAGGCTTTTTCCTCCCATGTTTCTTCACCTTGTTACTTTTAACCCTTTAAAGCCATAAAACAGCAGCAGGGGTCTGTTAGAAACTCGCCTCTGTGTATCACCCCCTGCAGGCAACAGCTGGTACTGCAGCAGCATTTATTTAAATCCAACCAAGAGGCCACCTTCACACCTGAGATCAGGTGTGGTGCTAAAGGTGAATAACAGAACTCAGAATTCTGATGTTTTCCATGTGGTGATGATGAAGCAGCTGTATCAGGGCTAGCGCCACCTGCAGGAAGGGTTCGGGCATGTGTCAAATATTTTCCAAAGGAATTCAGGAGAAATATCTGTCGTCTTCAGGCGACTTTTGTTGTGATTTGGCGCAATATAAATACAACTGAATTGAATTAAAACGATTTGCTTTGGCAGTTGAAAAGTTAAACGCCTCGCCCCCTGAGTGACACAGCCGTCTGTCTTCCCACAAAGGATGACCCTCAGCGAGCCGTACAGCTTCTTCCAGAACCAACGTCTGCTGGATCCCTACGAGTCCTCCCGCCTGCTCACCTCCGACCTCGCCTCGTATCTGCTCCTTCCTCTGAAAGAGACAGAAAAGAAAAACACCCCTCTGCCTAGCCTTGATTATTTTCATCCTACCGCTGATTCCAATATCTAGTTCAGGACATTCTGTTCAGACTCTCCCAGAGAATATCTCTCTAACCCTGAAGTGTACGCATGCTGCAAAACCCTCCATGCTCTACGCCTACGCCTCAATATTTCAAATCCAGTCATGGCGCAGGACGAAGCTTTTGACCCTCAAACACGGAGCGCCAACATGTTTATGAGCACATTTCCATTGTGTTTATAAAAAATAATAAAACAGCTATATTTAATCATTTTAAACCCTAACATGTCTCACTGATGCAGCGGCACTTCTGTGCGTTAAGGTTTTTCACAAAACGACTGCAGCGGTTTCCCGCCTGGCCTGGAGGTGGCGCTCATCGTCCCGTCATACCTGCTGCTGTTCCTGTGTTTGCCTGTGGGAGGCGCCTGTGATTGATTCCAAACATTAACACGTTATAGTTTAAAACTGATGTTTGTATTATTGTTACAGTTTCTGTGTTTTATTCTGAAAAGTCGTGTTCATGCTCTGTCCCTTCCTTCCTGTCGCTGGTTCTCAGGTGAGTGTGAGAAAACGCGCAGCAGCTGATCCGGTTAATCGAAAGCTAAATCAAAGCAGCGTCCCCCGAGTCCTGGAGCGGTGAAGGCTTCCTGTCCTGTCCTTAGTTCGGGACGACTTCCTGTCTGTGGTTCTTTTCAGATCAGCTGACAGGAAACCACAGCGCTTCTCATTCTGAGGGTTTTACTGTGTTCAAGTCAGGACGCCCAAGTAACAAAAGCAAAGAGCTCCAGAAAAGCAAACAGCCAGCGCGTTTTCATCCACAGCTTCCTGCTTCAGAGATTAACGGGAAGATTCACAAACTTCATCCACACGATGATGAGGAGTGTGAATCTTCGTCCTGCTGCTTCTCCTGAGTCCTGCTCGTCTTCACGTCTGTACGGTTCTGATGTAAATGACTGTACGGACAGTAATCACATGTAAACTGATGATATTAAACGGGTGATATAGAAACCTGGAGTCTAATCAGTGTGTTCTGTGCAGAAACGTTACTGTGAGTGTTTTAATTAAGGGCAGTGTGACAGAGCCCCCCCCGGTTTGTCCTGCTTTTCCTGCCCCCTCGTAGATTTCCACAGAAACAACAGCTGAAGGAAGTTTGTCCTGTCAGATTTTACTCGGTGGAAACAAGCCGAGCTTGTCTGAAGCACAGACAAATAAGATAAAGTGTGAACTTGAAGCTGTGTGTTGTAAATGAATGTGTGTAACAACAAAAGACCGGAGCCTTTGACTTTTGGGGCACATGCTGCATTAAAACGGGCAACGCAGGGTAAAATACCAGTTTATACCACAAGATGGAGCAGCGAGTCAGTCAGAGAGGAAGAAGGCCGGGTATTCAAACACTCATCATGTGACTGAGCAAAAAGCTGCAGACAGGTGGGGTCTGAGCACTCACCTGTACCTGAGTGTTCAAAGACATGTTGAAGTGGGAGGTGGCGCTGATGCAGGGGTCCTGACAGCCTCGAGGGTCCTGCAGGTTTTAGATCTCACCCTGGGTCAACACACCTGAATCAAATGATTGGTTCATTACCAGGCCTCTGGAGAACTTCAGGACATGTTGAGGAGGTAATTTAGCCATTTAAATCAGCTGTGTTGGTTCGAGGACACATCTAAAACCTGCAGGGACACCGGCCCTCCAGGCCTGGAGTTGCCCACCCCTGCTATAGGGGGAGGTCTGACGGGAGGAAAGTGCTCGCAGTGCAGCAGTGACCTCCAGTGGCAGCAGGAAGCACTGCAGAGAAGCATCAGCTCTGTCCATCCACAATCACACATTCATTGATAAACATTAGGATAACAGAGAAAACACCACAAAAGTGACATGATCAAAGTGTATTTGCTGGCTTCAGCGTGAGCACGAAGAGGAAACTTGAGACAACAAACTTCGAGTCGAGCGGACGAGCCGAGAGTCACAAAAAGAGACAAAAGCTTTTCTCACTTAAAAAACTGTGAGGCTCAGTTTTCCACGGTAATCATTAGAAGTGTGTTAAGAAGAAGGGCGCCATGACGAGGACAAGAGCCTTTGAGTGGTTTGGTGACTGAGCTCATTTGATCCCAACAACACCCAAAAATCCAGGAAGATTTCCTGACCAGAACTCCCACTATAAAACTGTGTGAACCACTCCAGTCTCAGGTCAGTAAACCTGAAGAAAACCAGGTCAGCACTCAAACATTCACAAACAAGATCGGCTCAGCTCATCTCGGCTGATCTTTAAACTGGTAAATCTTACTCAGGACACTTCTTTTAAACTGCTTAAGGCTGTATCTGAGGCCTGACCTGCTCTTTGCAGCACTCCCACCTCCACCTGTCTGTGTAACCCTGATGGGGACGGGTGGAGGTAATTGAATGTGCTGCAGTGAGGGGTGAGCTAAGTGTTTAATTGCGTTCAGCAGTGAAACAGTGTTGAGTACACCAGGGCCATTAAAGAGAGGAAAAAATGAAGCCATAGAACATTCAATGCTTTTATTTTCTTGATTTTTCACTAGAAGGTTGACTTCCTGCCAGGTGGAGCTCTGTAACACATCACACGTCGGAGCAATAATGCACAGATTTATGGATTCTATCACTGATCAATACGTCTAATCACAGTCACATGATGAGATATTAGAAGCTGGTGTGAGATAAGCTGCTGAGGTTCAGCTGTTTGTGGTCGCGGCGAAGGCGGAGCATCCACTCACCACCTCAGGAGACCCAAACGGCCTGAAGGTGGAGCCAAAGATTCAGGAGCTCATCAGCTGCTCATGAAGGCCAGACTGTACGAGCCTACAGACGAACTTTGACCCTTGATTCTAAAGCAAAAGCGTCGACTCAGGGTCTCCTGCTGCTTCCTGTTCAGCCCTCAGTGGTAAGCTGTCCTCTATTGGTTTGTGTTGGTTGGTGACGAAGGTCACCTGAGCAGGGAGCTGTCTGGGATTTATGCGACTGTCGGTGTTAACGCTGGGCGACGAGCAATACCTCAGGACTCTCCACCAGCTTCTGATTGGCCAGGAGCTTCACCACAGCAGCAGTTCTTCTTCTTTAGTTTTCCTGCAGGTACTGAACCGAAAAGACCTCCAGCTGAGTCTCCAGCTCGGTGGCTCTGTTCCTGAACAAACGAAAACAAGATTTTAAGACATGCAGCTTCTGCTGAGATGCTAACAGGACCTGGAAGTGCGTGGGGTGTGTTTATGGACGCTGGAATATTGTAAGTAAACGCTGCACAGAAAAACGATTTTTAAACCTTATTTTGACCCAAAGCTGCCAAACGTTGGAAAACCAGATTCATGATTCCCAAACTGGGACTTCTGGGATCTCTGCACGCTGACTGTCCAGAAAACACCAAAGATCTGATGTGCAATCCCTGAATTTGACTTTTGCATCTCGTGCACTGAAGTTTGTTTCTGAGCAGGAGTTCCTGTGAACTCTCCAAACCACGAGCGGCTCGGAGCTCTGACCTGAAGGCCTTGGAACGCCTCTGGATGTTCTCCAGTCTCTGGATCCTGAAGCTCAGCTGACGGATGTTTCCCTCCAGCTCAGCGTCACTCAGCTCCACCCTCTGAGTCAGGCGACTGAAGGTGGACGACAGCTCCCTCAAACACAAACAGAGCAGATTAAAGGCGGAGCCTCCAGGTGTTCGCTCCCTGGACATGTGCGTCAGGCGTGGGCGGGGTCTTACTTGCACACCTGATGGCTGCAGGCGCTGCTGGCGACGGGGACGATGGCTCTCAGGCGCTGAGCGGCGTGCTCGACAAACTGCTGCTTCAGAGCGCGCTCCCTGCTGGCATCAGTCCAGGTGAGTTTCTCGTACAGGTAGAGGAGACCATACAGAGAGACAGAGAGGGCGATGAGACGCCAGCCCACTGAACGCCACACCTGCAGTGACAACAGCACACACCTGAGAGACACACACCTGTCCCCGATTTTAACAGAGCCCTCGTGGAAAAGATAAGAAGTGGCTCGGAGTCATTCCTGGACTAATCTCCTGGAGAGAGACCAGCTTAGCAGGCCTGCGTGTTTATTTGTCGCAGACGCTCGGCATCATTTGCAGTTTCATCTTTTCTCCTGTACTGGGCCCTTTTTATGATTGGCCACCTTCTGGAAGCCTGCCGAGGGGCAGCACCTGGTTACTGAACCTCAGCAATGCTGTAAAGTAAAACGTACCACTCCGCCGATCACCAGCACCGTCATGGACGCCCTGGATGTGACAGAGACCAGACCCGTTGCTATGGAAACCACCATTTCATCCCTAAAGGTGGAGCGTTCCTGCAGCAGAGAGACAGTTTCCATGTGCACTCTGTTTTTTCTGAAGGCTTCACAGATGTGACGCTGCGCTGAACTTGCCTTTTGCGCGCGGTCGGCGCCACTCAGCGCTCGTTTGGCGTTTGCGGCACCGATGAAGCGGGTGACGAGGGCGGTCCAGCCCAGAGAAAACTGGAAGTCGATGTTCTCCTGAAAGTCTGCACAGAGGGCGGCGAGGCCGAGGTCGTAGGTTAGCTCGAACGAGGCGGAGGGAGTGGAGAGCTGCTCCTGCAGAGCCGGAGACAGCAGAGGACGGACAGCGTCTGAGGACAACCAAGCAGAAGAAAGAGTGTCCCCACTTCCTGTCAGCAAGGAGAGCCGTCCGTCTGTACATCTTTATTCGTAAAGCACTTAAAGCAACCACAGCCAACACAAAGGGCACCACAGTGGAACTAAATAATAACACGTGCATACAAAGAACGTGATGAAACTGTGAGGCCTTACCGATCATGTGACTTTGGGCGTCTCTGATGTCTCTGAGGACGCCGACAGAGCAGCGGTGGTCCAAACCACCAATGAGCCGCTCCTCCACGTGCTGCAGCAGCTTCTAAACAGGAAATGACACAACAGCGCCGTCAGACAGACGAAGGACCGAGAGCGACACTTGGGGGGACCTCTGATGTACAGCGCAGGAAACCAAACACAGAACAAGCTCAGGGCGGACACATTTGGGGGAGGAGGAGGGCCGCATGTTCTCCTCCCCCCTCTCCTGCCCCCTCAGCCTGTCTCACCCTGTCCCTCTCAGCAGAAGACATCCAAAGGGGACTGGGCAGACTCCACTCCAGTAAAGCTGCAGGCCCGGATGGTGTCAGTCCCAGGGTCCTCAGGTGCTGTGCTTCCCAGCTTTCTGGAGTTCTACATCGGATCTTCAACATGAGTCCATCACTCTGGAAGACATCCTGCCTGGTTCCTGTCCCTAAAAAGATGAACCCATCAACCCCCAGTGACTGCAGGACAGTGGCTCTGACTTCACATGTCGTGAAGACGCTGGAGAGACTCATCCTGAGAGATCTGCATCTGCTGGTGGAGCCTTGGCTGGACCCCCTGCAGTTTGCTTATCAACCCCGTATCGGTGTGGAGGATGCCATCATCTACCTGCTGGACCAGGCTTATTCTCACCTGGACATTGTTGGGAGCACTGGGAGAAATGCAGATGGACGCCCCACTGGTAGGTTGGATCACGGACTATTTAACAAGTCGACCCACAGCGTGTTCGGCTGAAGGGCTACCGCTCGATAACATCCTGAGCAGCACGGGGGCGCCGCAGGGGGCGGTCCTATCACCCTTCCTCTTCACCCTCTACACGTCTGACTTCAGATACAACCTCAGTCATGCCATCTGCAGAAACTCTCCGATGACTCTGCCATTGTGGGCTGTATCAGGTGGGAGGAGTGCAGGAGTGTGGTGGACAGCTTTGTTGAGTGGTGTGAGCTTAACCATCTACAACTTAACATCACAAAGACAAAGGAACTGATCATGGACTTTAGGAAGCAGGCTCCTCCTCCTACCCCTGTCACCATCAGAGGGGCTGATGTAGAGATCGTGGAGGACTACTGGTACCTGGGGGTAGACTTGGACTGTAAACTGGACTGGACCAAGAACACCAATGCTGTCTTTAAAAAAGGGCAGAGCCGGCTTTTCCTACTGAGGCGGCTCAGGTCCTTTAATGTTGGTAGGAAAATGCTGATCATGTTTATCACTCTGTGTGAGAGCGCTGTGTTCTCTGCAGCTGTGTGCTGGGCAGCGGGTGAAGGCAGCCGATGCCAACAGGCTGAACAAGCTGGTTAACAGGCTGGTTCTGTCCTGGGCGTCAGACTGGAGAACCTGGAGGAGGATGCTAAAAAAGGAGGGGTGTGTGTGTGTGTGTGTGTGTGTGTGTGTGTGTGTGTGTGTGTGTGTGTGTGTGTGTGTGTGTGTGTGTGTGTGTGTGTGTGTGTGTGTGTGTGTGTGTGTGTGTGTGTGTGTGTGCGTGTAGTCACAGTTTTGTAGAGCAGCAGAGTTTCCTGCGTGGGGCTGAAGTCGGCTCTGAACTCGTCCACCAGAACAGGAAGTGAGCGGATCTGATCCGTCAGCGCCGAGGACACCTGAGGGAGAAACAGCAGGTTACCATGGAGACGTGCCACGGTCAGAGGGAGGAGGTTTGGCGCTCGCTTTGATGCGCTGATCTCAGACGCCTTCACGCAGCTAACAAGAAATCAAACTTTCACACCAGGTTGGATTCAGTTCTGGTCAAAGGACAAAAGAAGAACAGGAAGTGAAGTCACAGAGGGACCGACCTATTACAAGCATGAATGATTCCCGCCTGCCTCATCCCTGTGCTCGAGTTAGGGCTACAGTGAGCAACAGTCTGCACTTTGAAGGGAGGGAATGGAAGTAAACCTGAAACCTGGAAGTCGTCTGACTGGAGCCACCAACCTGGCAACCAAGAAAACAGGGCTATGTGGAACAGGAAGCACCCGATAACCGAAGAAGGGAACAGGCCAAGGATCCGGTTTCTTTCATCTGTGGATTTTTCACGAGGTGTTCCTGAAGTTACATTCTTCTTTTGCGATCTGAAACCAGACCTGAAGCCACGCCCTCTGCTGGAGCATTTACCTTGGCTGTGACATCATCGCTCAGAGTCCTGATCCTCTCTTTGACGCTGGCGCTCAGACGGTTAATCTGCCCTCGAACAAAGTCCAGCCGGTCTCTCACGTCCTCTCGCTCCTCCAGGCAGCAGATCCTGTCAGAGGTCAAAGGTCACACTGAGCCCGCCTTTGAATAAACAAAGTGAAGGTGAGAGTGTTTGGCTCACTTCCTGTCGGCAGAGGCGATGTTGATGGCGTCCATCACACCTTTGATGGCCTCTGTGATCTGCCACGCTCTCACCGTGTGCTGCTCAAACTTGGTCTTCACTGCAGACTGAGAGATGAACTCCTGTAGAGGTCAAAGGTCACACTGTCACATCCTGTCACATCGTTGTTTTTGGCAAATTAATGAATTTTTGCACGAGTTCAGACATCGAACCTCAAACGTCCTCTCAAACCTCTGGAACTCTCTCAGCCTCTCGTGGAAACCCTCAGCCAGAGCGCCCCCTGCAGCACGAGGAAGGACGATGGTTGTTTCACTTTAATAACTCTCATGATTGTGTGTGTGTGTGTGTGTGTGTGTGTGTGTGTTTCTGTGTGTGTGTGTGTGTGTGTGTGTGTTTCTTCTGCTCATGTGCAGCTCCACATTTTCACACTTGGACTCCATCAGAGCAGCTCTGCATGATTCACAAAGTAATCCTCACCTCACGTTCTGGAACCAGATGTTTTAGCTCCTCCCCCTTTGAGGGAGGCTGCCAATCACAAATAGACAGATTGGCTGAAAAAATGTGTCATGCATTTGAAATGAGCGGATGTGAAATGAGCAGAGGCTCCCCCCACTGTCCCTCACCCGTCTCACCTGTCTCACCTGTCTCAGGCATGCCCTGTGCTCGCTGCATCCTGGCGCTCAGAACCTCTTTAGCTGAGACGAAGAAGATCCGCCCCGCGGCGTCATCCAGGCCGACCACCTTCAGCTCGTCAGCGAGGAACCCCACGCAGCGGTCCAGGTGCTGGTTCCTCACCTGGACAGCAGGGGGAGCGGTGTGTTTCTACCATAGCATCCACACCTACAGTGCAGGCGAGTGAGATGTTGTCCTGCTGCCAGCGGCTTTACTTCGATCTCAGAGAATAATTCTCCTTCCAGCCTGACTTACACCCAAGCAGGTAACAATAAAAACAGCAGCGTTCATTAGAAGGAGGACGTCTGTGCGCTGAAGCTGTGAGGTGATGCGCAGGAACGGGTCAGCTGCAGAGCTGCACGGCGCCGCCACACTCACACATGTCGGGTGTTGCTATCCTCGTGGGGACCTCCCACTGACATATTGCTTTCCCTAGCTGCCGACCCTAACCATCAAAAATGAATGAATAACCCTGAGCCTAAACCAGCTAACCCAGCTAACCATAACCCAGCTAACCATAAACCAGCTAACCATAAACCAGACACTCAACCCACACTCTCACACACACACACACACAGACACACACAGAAACACAGACACACACAGAAACACACGCACACACAGAAACACACACACA